GGGACCCCCGGAGCAACGTGGAGGTGCCCACAGTGACCGGCCTGCACTTGAACAGTGGAGGAATTGGGGGGAGGGGGGAGAATCCCCCTCCCCCGTGCCAGGCCTTGGGCAGCTGGAAGGCTAGATCAGCCACCTCTAAGAGGGGCTTCTGAATTCGCACCCTACACTTGTCCATTGTGGCGAGCCAACCTGTGTCTTGACCAGGGCAGTTCAAAAAAGGTCGAGATGCGAATTCTGCAAGGGACATTTTGACATTTTTGATATCCCCAGACACTCCAGGGGCCGAAGAGACTGACCCGGTCGGTCAACTAGGGTGACATTAACCCACCGCCCTGGACATCTGATCGTCATCTTCTACCATTGTGGTTTTCAGCCTTGGGGGGGGTCTTGCAGGTGTGTGGACTTCAACTCCCAGAATTCCCATTTCCCAGCCAGGAGGAATTCTGGGAGTTGAAGTCCATCTGTGTGTGAAAGACGCCAAGGACGAGAAACCTACTGAATTCAACCATCCATAAGAGACACGAAGTAATCCTTGACTTATGACAACTGGGGCTCGAGTTTCCGTTGCTAAGCAAAGCAGTGGAGTTGGACAGCCAAGGTCCCTTCCAACTTTATTATTATTATTATTATTATTATTATTATTATTATTATTATTATTATTATTATTATTATTAGTTTGCCCGGCCTGGCCTACCATGGTCTCTTGCTCGAGGGGGGGGTTGGACTAGAACACCTCCAAGGTCCCTTCCCACCCTGTTGTACTGTATTCCGAGTTCCACACTCAAAATAAGAAGGAATTTCCTGACAGTGAGAACAATTAACCAGTGGAACTCCTTGCCTCCAGAAGTTGTGGGTGCTCCATCACTGGAGGTTTTCAAGAAGAGATTGGACTGCCATCTGTCTGAAATGGTCTAGGCCAGGGTCTCCTGCTTGGGTGGGGGGTTGGACTAGATGACCTCTGAGGTACCTTCCAACCCTGTTACACTGTATTCTGAATTCCATACTCAAAATAAGGAGGAATTTCTTGACAGAACAATTAATCAGTGGAACTCCTTGCCTCCAGAGGTTGTGGAGGTTTTTAAGAAGAGATTGGACTGCCATCTGTCTGAAATGGTATAGGGCAGGGGTAGGCAACCTTGGCTCTTTTATGACTCATGGACTTCAACTCCCAGAATTCCTGAGCCAGCATGGGGGAACTATGGCCCCCTTCATGACTCGTGGACTTCAACTCCCAGAATTCCTGAGCTAGCATGAGGGAAACTTTGGCCCCTTCATGACTCGTGGACTTCAACTCCCAGAATTCCTCAGCCAGGATGGAGGAAATATGGCCCCTTCATGACTCGTGGACTTCAACTCCCAGAATTCCTGAGCCAGCCTGGCTCAGTTTGGAAACCTCCCTTTCCCCTCAGCATGGCTGGCTCAGGAATTCTGGGAGTTGAAGTCCACGAGTCATAAAAGAGCCAAGTTTGCCTACCCCTGGTCTAGGGTCTCTTGCTTGAGCAGGGGGCTGGACTAGAAGACCTCCGAGGTCCCTTCCAACTGTGTCATTCTATGATCTAAATCACAGCAGTTCTTAAGCGAATCATATTGTCATTAAGCAAATCGGTGTCCCCCCCCC